CAGATGGCCAAACTGAGGCCATGAAGTGAAGTGATTTATCAAAGCCACAAAGAAAGCCACTATCAGAGAGGGGATTAGATTTGAAACCGCATGCCTCTACATTTACCATGCAAACAGGAAAGTGGTCATCAAGGGAGACCAACCATCACTTAACTATCAAAGCCTTACTTAGATCGTCTTGTGCAATCTTCTTTTGATGAAAGGCTGTGGTCCCTCCGCCCCTCAAATCTGGAACATTCCTGATGAAGAAGTACTGCAGAAACTACATGATGCTTATCACTTTTGACTCTTCTGAAGCAATGAGAATCCGTGTGTGTGTGTGTGTGTGTGTGTGTGTGTGTGTGTGTGCACGCATGCATGCGAGAGAGAGAGAGAGAGAGAGAGAGAGACAGAGACAGAGACAGAGAGACAGACAGAGACAGAGACAGAGAGACAGACAGAGACAGAGACTATCTTCTATGGGTGCCTTTAAATGCAACTTGGCTGCTTTTTATTTATCCAACCCATAAAACTCTCTGGATGAGGCACAACAAAGATTCAAAATGTCCTAGAAATCATTGTTTCTAGAAATTTCCCTCCAGGAGGGTGTGCAGACATGAGCATTAAACAAGAAAGTGAGGCAAAGTGTTGAGTAGATATGTGAATACCAAACCTTGCAAGGGATTAGGAGGGTGAGGGAAGAGCAGGCTGGATACAGCTAAAGGGGCTTCAAGTTGAAAATCGCACAAGTTGAGCATCCCTAATTGAAAGTCTCACATCTAAAATGCTCCAAAGTCCTAGAACTTCTGAACATTGATATGGACACTATGTTGGGATATCCTGATCTCATGTGATACGAGTTGCAGCCACAATGCAGCTCATTAAAAACATGCGTATGTGAAATATAAACGAATTTCACTTAGAGTTGTGTTCCACCCTAAGGAATCTCATTGGGTATATGCAAATATTCCAAGTCTGAAACCTTTCTTGCTGTCAGCATATACTCAGCTATTGTTGAGCTAGTCTTGGGCCTGGGTAAAATGATGACAGGGAAACATAGTAGAGACAAATAAGATTTTCAAAACCCGTAGGAAAATGTATTACTTAATTTTTTTTTTAACCACCCACATGTCTAGTTTACTTCCTGACTCTTACAGGAGTAAGAGTCTTTTACAAGAGTAAATGATTTCATTTACTCTTGCCCTAATCCAGTTCTTCTGAGGGTGAAATTATGACCTCCAATTGATAGATACAGAACCTCTAGTTCAGAAAGGCAAAGCAACATGATGTAGTAGTATTGGTTCAAACACTAGTCCATTTGACCCACAGAGTGTTCATAATTTTTGTGTCCTCAAAAGTGATACATTCAATCCTAAATCTCAATGTGAAGGTATGGGAAGTAGAGCTGTTGAGTGGTGACTAGCTCATGAGGCTGGAGCCCTTATAGATGCCATTAATGCAGTCTCTTTTTGTGAGGGCGCTCTGTGGTGAGAGCTAGTTAGCCCTTCTGCTAGGTGAAGAGACAGTGGGAAGACAGGTACGGGCCTAATCTGTTGGCATCTTGAGTGCAGAATGGCAAGCATCTAGCACTGTGAGAAACAGTTTTCTGTTGTTTATAAGCCACATGGTCTGTGGTATAATGCTATATCAGCCCACAGAGCCTAAGACAACCATTATGCTATACTGCCTCCCTTCAAGGGTCCTTGTTTTCTTCCTTTGCTTTACAATCTTTAGATAGAAAGATTTCCTTTGTAAATAGTACCCAACAAATCCCCAAATACAGTTTACTTTATTTTTTTTTGGCCAGTTGTGGGGCCTGAACTCTTCCCTCAGCTCTTCAGCTCAAGGCTAACGCCCTACCACTGGAGCCACAGTGCCACTTCCAGCTTTTTCTGCCTATGTGGTGCTGAGGAATCGAACCCAGGGCCTCATGTATGCGAGGCAAGCACTCTACCACTGAGCCACCTTCCCAGCCCTACAGTTTACTTTTACAGCCCAAAATAGTGGGGTGTGTGTGTGTGTGTGTGTGTGTGCGCGCGCGCACGAGCGCGCGCACGCGCTTTGCTATAGCTACTTTGAAACTAACCTCACCTCTATCTTCTGCATTGAGATGTGCTATGCAGTTACTGCTTACTGACTGTTGTTTGTCTGGTCATGGCATTCCCTTGAGAAATTTAGGGAAGGCAGCAGAAATCCTACAATCTGGTCCCAACCAGGTCCTCCCAGGCAAGAGTGTGCAAGAGTGAACACGAGTGTGCTAAGCAGACACAGAACCCTACCCTGTGCCCTGGGAACCTGCTTTCTAAAGGACATGCCTCGTGCTCTTCCTTAAGGCCCCCTTATACAATTTGATTTTTCTGAATGCTCTGATTTACCATGTCTGTTTTGGTCACTCTGCATGGTGAAAATGCAGCATGGGATGAACTCTCACTTAGGCACACATGCTATTTTTATTCTACAGCATCTCTCTCACACTCTCCCTCTGTAAATTTCAATTCATTTTCTTAAAACACCAAGTCTTAGCCCCAGAGGGATATCATTGCAGGTACGAGCTTTCCTACCGGTTAAGAGAAGAATGAAAGGCAGCAAAAGTACCCATCAACAAGTGCTTCTTAGATAACAAGAGGCTGAATCCCAACCTTGTAAAAACACTTAGCCAAAGGGATGGAGGCCAAGCCTCATGGTTAGCCTATCTCAACTCTGATTCTTACCACAAAGATGCAACTGACGAGTGTCATCACCACAACTCCATGCCCTTCACCAGACCACTAAAGGGTGGGGTGCAGTGAGAATGGGTACCTGAGCAGACATTCCAGAAAGGAGAACCGAGGATGCTGGGAACCATCTTGAATTCTGGTGAAAACAAAGAATCTTTGGTATTCCATAATTCTTAGACTAAGCAGCTTTTTCTTTTCCTGATACATGATTATATAAATATGACTATGAATAGGAGATCAAAGCTTATCATGCTGTGGGCTAAGGAATTCCACTATGGTCTAACCCAGCACAGACCATTTTAGCAAATTTACTTAGTTGTCTAGCATGAGAATGAAGAAGCTCCCAATCATAAACCTCCAGGTCAATGCTAAATAGTCACCATCATTTCCAGAAGTACATTTTTTAAACCAAGACAGAGTGAGCACTTGGAATTTATTAAGTGATAATATATACATATTGCTTTGTTCTTTACTGTTTCAAGGAGTTGCAGAACAATTGCTTTATTGTAGTTTCTGTAGAAGAATGTAAGATTGGAAGGAAAAGTTCATTCACCAGAGAAGTATCTCTATTGTACTGGAGAGGACTAGAAAAGACCACATGATACATGGAAAGGCAAAGGCAGCAGTCCTGCTCTTCTGACTCCTGGTATATTCTGCCCAGTCTGAATTTCCTTGAATTATGATGGATCTTTTTCCTTTGCTTGGAATAACCTCTGTTCATTTAAGCATCTTTTAGATTTGACTTCAATGTTATCTACGGTTGTCTCCTTAGTGTAAATAATAGGCTATTCCACACTATCTTTTTTAAGTGTTTATTTTCTCGTGTGTCTCTTCTGCCCAAAATTTCATGCCCTATGAGGGACCACTGATCTCCAGTGTTTGTAATAGTGATGGCATATACTCAATAAATATCTGTTGAATGAATGGATAAACGAATGGGCCCTCCATGCTGTTTTCCTCGGAGTCCTGCAGAAATGTTTGCTTTTAACACTCACTGGGCATTTAAAATATTTAATCTGATCATAAAAAGTGAGAACACATACCTTAAATTCCAAGACCATAAATACTCTGAGTGAAAAGGTTTTATATCTCTGCTTCTCCATTATAGTTTAGATGTTTGATGAATGTTAATGAGATAACATCATACTACTACTCTATTTAAATATGGCTATCCAGATACATATTTTCAAGTTTATATATATATATATATATGTATATATGGTAAGCATCTGAGATTATACCACTTACACACATGTGAAATAATAAGAGATCCTGACAAAGTTCTAATAATGAGCACAAGATATTTAAAGACAAAGCAGTAAGTTTTATAATTGTTAATCCAAAAACTGCTTCACATGGAAGAGTTCACAATGGATAGCTCTCTCAACTGCTGGATTTCCCTGAGATGCACACAGAGCATTCACAAAGAGGTTCAGATTTGTGGGCCTAACACTGAGATTAATGTAAGAAATATCCATTTGCTCAGGCGTATGTCAAAGTAGACAAGAGACCATAACTTTCTAGGATACTTTATGATACCAGCTGGTAGATCACAGACCTACCTAAACAAAAATCCGATGGAAGAATGAAAACGTGGTTACAATTATTCATCCTCCTACTGTGGGAGTTTCATAAACAAACTAATAAATATTTTCATCTTGCAATAAGATCAAGTTAAGTGATTTGCTGACATTCTCTTGAGGTTTAAGGCTTGTCTTTAATGTGAAATACAAATCGTATTTTGTGTGGACACATTTTAATAATAAACTTAAAAGCACACGAGACTATAATAATGAAAACACTGCAATGAAAACCAGACAAACTATCTACCACTTCAAAAGCAGTGAATGAAGACTGCTCGTCAACACCCTGATGCAAACAACCTCAGCACAAAATGCCACATATTAAAATCAGGTTTTGTAGACTGAGAATCAATGAGAATGAGAGAATGAAAACAAATAAAAGCTATTATTTAAAATCAGGTAACTGACCACAGGAAAATATATTATTTGCCTAACACACACACAGACACTCACACACACAATCCCCACCCCCCAACTTATTCCACTGGCAAAAAAACCCAAAAGAAAACTACTAGTCTACTGTCTTTTTACCTTAAGAAAGGAATAAGAATTTGATGCCAAGGCCCTTTGGTTCCTAACATCCCAAGAGTGCCCTCAAAGATCAGACGCTGTATCATTCACTGCCCTCAGAATCATTCTTGGTTGCCTCTCATCTTGCTATTCTGGCTTCAAGGTCATGGATGCAATCACAACAACCAAGGTTCTCTGCGGAACCACTCACCTCTGGGTCCTGTGATGACGGGTCGGTGATGCTGTGTGAAGGCCGTTCCCAGAGAGGATGTCTGCGAAGGGGAGGGACTGCTGAAACCAGACTTCTCCGACTTCTTCAGTGTGGTTGGCGATGGCATTCCTGGTAAGAAGCAGTGATAGGTCAGTATACTAACTCAGAGAACAACAGCTTGTGTAACTTAAAGGACAAATGCTGAAAGAATTGAAGATATTAAAAAAGGAAACCCACTGGTGAATAGAAAATTTGTTTCAGGTTGCTTTGAATTTTGTCATGGGAACAAACGGGTGACAGGATGATCTTTGATAAATGGGTCTATGATTGATTTTAATTTGCTATATCACAGTCTGTTTGGGGGTTATTGATCTTCTCCAGAAGGATTTGATAACCAGAGTGGAGCTATCAGGCAGTGGTAGACCTTTAAAGATTGAGGTCTAGTAGGATTTCCTTAGGGGTGTGCTCTTGCAGGGGAGATTAAGGGGCTTGGGTCCTTTCTTTTAGTTATGTTTTGCTTCCTGGCCATGAGGTAAGCAGTTTTACTCTGCTACATATTCCCTGCCTTTACTATACTCCACCATAGTCCCTGCCACTAGCACCCACCTGGAACTTAAGAGTAACAGGGCCCACCCAATCACAGAATAGAATCTCTAAACTAACTTTGATAGTAGTTTCTCTTATACATTGATTACCTCAGTTACTTGTTACAGAAGTTATACAACTAACATGGGTTTCAACTTCTGGGGTGTTCCCAAAATCTGTTGCATGTGTTTCCCAGTCCCTTAGAGAGAAGGCTTCTTGAATACACAGAAACCTACATAACACCCTCCAGTACTGTCAGAGCCTTCTTTAGCACCCAAACACTTCTCCACATTTAATACTTTCTCTCCCTCCCTCCCTCCCTCCTTCCTTCCCTCCCTTTATTCTTTCCTTCTTTCTTTTTTTCTTGTCCTGGGGCTTGAACTCTGATCCTGTGTTGTTCCTGAACTCTTTTGCTCAAGGCTAGCACTCTACCACTTGAGCCACAGCACCACATCCAGCTATTTCTGTGACTAATTGGAGATAATAGTCTCATGGACTTTCCTGCCTAGGCTGGTTTTGAACTTGGATGCTGAGATCTCAGCCTCCTGAGTAGTTAGGATTACAGGCATGAGCCACTGGCACCTAGCAATTTTTTCATTTTTAAATCTTTTAGTTAGAATTACTTTTGCTGCTGGTAGTGGGTTTTGAACTCAGAGCCTGGTATTCTCAATCTGCCTTTTTTCACTAGTGCTCTACCACTTGAGCCACATCTCTACTTCTGGCTTTTTGTGGATTAACTGAAGATTAAGAGTCTCTTGGACTTGTTTGCCCAGGCTGGCTTAGAACCTCAATCTTCAGATCTCAGCCTCCTGAGAGTAAGGATTACAGACATGAACCACTGGTGTCTGGCTAGTTCTCCACATTTTAAAACACCTAGCTCTTAAAACACAAAGATGCCCTCAACACTGACAACTCAGTTTTTCTCTTAGTGGATTATTTATAATAGAAAATGCCCAACAGTTAGGGGCAGGTTCAAAAAATATGACATACACTCTACAAATAATACTATAAAGGAGTATTGGCATGGAGAAATACTTACAATGTTGATTGAAAAACAAATTACAACATATGATGTTTTAAATACATCAATCATGGGATGTGTGACATAATCTTAGCAGGTATTTCTATGCACTGAGAAAGAATTGGAAGGAAATATACATAAGCTACAACCAGTTCTCTCTGTTGGATCTGGGTGGTTTTTACTGCCTTCTTTTTTGCTTACTTGTCTCTTCTATGATGAACATGTATTACCTTTATGTTATGAAGACAATATCAAAGCTTGTTTTTAAAAATAGTATAGTTATTGTAGTATCTAAGGAGTTCACAGTATTTCCAACTGGGGGAGTGGCTCATGAAATAGAGTGCCTACCTAGCAAACACATTTCCAGGCTAGGAAATGCTTTGGAGAGAAAAATAAAGACAATTCAGTCCCTTTGCAATTACTGAATTTGTGATGCTGTCAGCAACCACGCTGACATACACAACTGGAGGCATCTATCAGTTTGGTGGGGTGCCAATTAAAACAATAAAAATCTGGACATAAACCAAAAGGAAATGACTCCTCCATATCACAGGACAAATCAGGGTTCTCCTAAGTTTCTAGTACAAAATTGGTCCACTGATATCAAAAGAACCAAATTCCACTTTATTTATACATGTGTATCATGTTTTCTGGCTAGGACCTCAGAATTTTTTGAATGCATTATTACTAAGCAGTTGCTAGCTAGTATCATGTACTATGTCAAGAACTTTATAAGTATAGATCTATCCAGATTGTTTGGCAATATCTAAATATGCCCTTTTTTCTGTTCTTTTCTTTTTTCTCTCTGCGTTCCTCTCTCTTTTCTTTCCTGCCTTTCCTTCCCTTGGCCTTGCACTTCACTTTCCTTTCTTTTATGCTAGTACTGGGGCTTGAAATCAGGGCCTCATGCTTCACTTGGCTTTTTTTGTTGTTGTTGCTGTTAAAGCTTGGTGCTATACCACTCAGCCATTTTTGGCTTTCTGCTGGTTAACTGAAGGTAACAGTCTCTCAGATTTGTCTGCCTAGGATGCCTAGGCTGGCTTCAAACCATGATCTCAGATCTCAGCCTCCTGAGTTGCTAGTAGTACAAGTGTCAGTCCCCAGTGTCCAGCTGTCCTTGTTATTTCTGGTCACAGATATTCCTAGTGCAGTTCTGCAACATGACTTTTTAGTGTGCCTATACTCCAAAGATCTATAAAAACACAGATAATGTCTTCTTTACCCATTTCTATGTTCAAGAGACTGATCAAAGGGCCTGAAATATACCAATTGGCCCACCCAAACATTTAAACTCTGTGAGTAAATCTCAACTTTATCTTTGACTTTACCAATCAATGCGGTGACATAGAAAAACATAGGGGGCTTTCACCCCAAGAAATAAGAAATCATTTGAAAAGTGGTAAGGACATTTGGATGGTTAGACATAAGTACCCAATATAGACTGGAGTGTGACTTCATTCTAACTTGACACATCCGGATCTGATCTGTTCTTGATTAATATCTATGTGATTAAAAACAGTCCTCAAGCTAAGTGGCTTTAGGTGTATGTGTGTTGAAAAGATAACCAGCTGTACCATATAAGTGTTCTAACATTGGTAGGATATATTGAAGTTTGGGATGAACATTCACTGCAAGTAACAAAACCTAAGGCATGGTCATGTAATTATAGTAGGGAAGAACTGGATAGTAAAAATAAGAGGAATATAAAGCTATCGAAATGTACACCAGCCTCCCAGCATTCAAAGCTCTTTTGCCCAAACCAATTTTTCAGCTGCCAACCATCCATTTACTTAACTTCAAATGTCTGAATTTGGTGTCATGATAGAGATATAAAAATAGAAAATGAAAAATGTCAAAACTTTGAAGGTCAGGGATTTTTTTTCAAACAATGGAATCACTGTATCTAAACCAACCTTACTGAAGGTTGCAAATGGTTGAACTCAAGAAAAAGTATTTATTTGAAATATGTCTGCTTTCCCCCCTATACTACTGTTAAGTTTTGCAGAAATGTTTATTTTGCTGGTTACTCATCCAAAGGAGCAGTTACAAGTAAACTTTAGGCAATAACAAGTATCAAAAATAATCAAGTTCAGTAGTGCTGTGGCTCAAGTGTAGAGCTCTAGCCTTCAGCTGAAGAGCTCAGGGCCCAGGCCCAGAGTTCAAGTCCCACGACCAACGAAACAAACAAACAAAAATAATTAATTTAGCCAATGGTTTTTAATTCATTATAATTTAAACCTTCCTTGAAAGAGTTAAAGGGAGAAGAAACACTGTTGGCATGGAAGAGCAGCAAGCTAAACTGTATCTAATCTTCTAAATTTATCACAGTCAAGTAATCTGAACCCTAAGGCTGTCATGAATCTCAAAATTACTTTGTGTTTTCAATTTTTAAAGACTCATATTGAGCACATTTCATGATTATATACTTTAATATTTTCTCTACATGCATAATGTATGTTTCAGTTAATTTGCTTTGTATACTTAATTGACCAGATGAAATTTCAAAATGCTAGTGAACCTATGTTAAAACCTAGAGGACATTAATCTTGGCTCTTATTTTTGAAATCAAATTTGGTTTTTGCACATTACTTTAAAAAATAAACACATTGAAATTTCTTTTTTTTTTTTTTGCCAATTATCTATGTACAACTGTTGCACAATTACCGTACAAATTAATGATCGATTAGGATTTCTGTTAATGAATCAAAATTGTACAACTTGAAGAAAGATGAGATATTAATGCTAAAGCTTCATGGAACTAAGTTCTGCCAATAGTTATGAGAGTTTGAAAAGGAATCCCAGGCTCCAGAAAGGAATGCAGCCCTGATAAATTTTCTTGTAGCCTTGTGAGACCCTGAGCAAGGGACAGTTATGATATGCAGATTTCTGACCCATGGAAACTGTGTGATAATTGTGTATCATTTTAAGTTGCTCAGTTTGTGGCGATTTGCACACAATAATAGAAAGCTACAAGACTGTTGCCATTACCAGAATGCCTATTCTTTTTTTTTTTTTTTTCGGTCGGTCGTGGGGCTTGAACTCTGGGCCTGAGTGCTGTCCCTCAGCTCTTCAGCTCAAGGCGAGCTCTCTACCGCTTGAGCCACAGCGCCACTTCCTAAAATGCCTATTCTATATTACTCTATTACTCTCTAGAATTTCAGCAATTTCTGCATTTTTTTTAACCTAATCCACTCTAGCTTGTGAAAGTTTCCACTAACCCAGAGAAAATGGTATCTTAGAAATGGAGCTAAGAATTAGTTTTTTCCAAAAAATTTTAGGCATTTGATAATTTCTATTTTCTTCTATTTCTTTCAAGAAACAGGAAAGATTTTGAAAGATATTTTTAAAACCCCAAATCAATTCTCATGGTCTTTTATAAGAAATGAAGGTGTTTTAGATAAATTTTTGGTGCAACCCAGTTATAGAATTAGAAAAAGTGAAATAGGAAAAAATTGTAATTTTAATTTCTCCTCCACCTCAAATTACAATTATAATACATATTTGTATATAATATATATAATTT